GGAGGTTATTACATGGGAAGAGAGATGAATACTAAAGTTATTTTAGGGTACAACTTAGGTGGAGATGCTCCATGATGCTTGGATTCTCTGGAGCCATGTTTCCAGGAGGACCAGGGGTAGGTATAGCTCAGAGGTACAGTGCCTGCCATGTTTCCAGCAGGTGTTTCATTTAGGATACTGATATGGCGGAGAGGACTGGTCTGGGTTCAAATCCCAGCTCATCTTTTTTACCCCCCTCAGTAGAACCCAGGGCCTCAATACCTGGCAGAAAGTGCTGTACCACTAAGTTACATCCTAGGCCTCTTTACTGTTTTGAAACAACACCTTGCAAAGTTGGATGAGCTGGACTTGATTTGCAATGCTCCTGCCTCAGCCTCACTAACAGGATTAAACCTGGTGTGATGGCACAGGCCTATAATCCCAGCACTCAGGAGGCTGAGGCAGGAAGATGGTTTCTAGTTTGAGACCAGCCTGGGCTGCAACATGAGCTCAAGCCCAGCCTGAAATGTATATCGAGACCCTGTCTTAAAAAGACACCCCTCCCCCAAAAAAAATCTACCGCTGGGCTGGGCAAGTAGCTCAGTGTTACATTGGTTTTCCAGTAGTATGCATGAGACTCTGGAATTGAGCCCAAACACTGAAAATTTAAAAACCTGATTGATTAACCTGCTAAAAATTACCTGATTGATTAACCTGATTGATTAAGACTCTCTGAGGGAGAATCACATGATGTAAGATACACCACACCCTTGATAAATTGTACATGCTAAATGCTTGTTTCTCTATCCTGATTTTAGCTTCAGGTGGAGTTGGCATATGTCCCGGTAGGTTATGGGGCAGAGAAAGGTTGAGATAAACATGAGCGTTTTTCTCCATATGGATAACAATAATCTTCACAATGGAGTTCTGCAAATGCTACAAAATCTGGAAGTGCTCTTCCAACTGTCAGAGAAAGATTACGTTTAACTGTGTTGAGTGAGAGGCTTTGTAAATGGGAAGACCTGTGGAGTATATAGATTTCTGGTTAAGGAAATTAAAAAAAAAGACTATTCCATGAGTGACAGACAGCTGTGAACAAGTCCCTTTCCTCTCTGGCTTCAGCTCGTTTGTAAAACACGAATGGTATCCTTTGTCTACTTAGTACAAATGTATATAGGGTTCGGGTTTGTGAGAAGTGATGTCGTTAAGCTCGGCCACAACTGCTGTACGGGAACGCTCGTTTCCAGGTCTGACTTCTAGGGGAATATCAAGCTTCTCAGGGGCATCCACCTAGTGTGTCTGGAGTTGCCTGGCTCCCTGGCTCTCGGACTTAAGTGTTGTGCTAATGTAATGACATCAGTTATAATTTCCTGTAAAACAATGCTTAATGCCGGGGTTACTAAGAAAACCCTGATGAAAGAAAATTTGTTGCATTAGAAGGTATTACTCCACAGTTCGTAGTGATATCTCTAAATTTTAATATATTTCCCTTTTCCTATTTACATTATGTATTTTGTGGGAAGTTAATTTTTTTCATGCATTGATTTAAAACATATCTACAGCCACAGGTAGAGTGGCTGCTCCACGTTCCTCCGTGAATGGCTACAGATTATCCTAATATGATTGGCCAAAGCACCTGCCAGTCTTCTTTCCCACGAGCCGATGAGGGGGGAATGGAAAAAAAATCAGCTGTTTTATTGGCTCCGGTAAGGAGACATAGGAGGGGGCGTGGCTTCTACCAATTTGTGGTTGGTTTCTCGGTCCGTCAGTCACTCTGCTGCAAACTCTGTCCAATGGTTTTGCTCGTACTAAACTGTCCTTTCCGGATTGGCTATAGGGTGCAGCCTAGACTGGTCGTTATTGGTCCAGACGCTCCAGCTAGTTCCATGAGCTCGCCCCCGGCTCGGTTGCCGTGGTTGCAGGCCCGGCCCGCCCGCTTGCTCGTTGACAGCGAGACTTACAGCGGAGGGAAGTGGGTCCGTTGGTCTGCCGGGAACGAGGCTCCGGCGGCCCGGCCCACGCGGAGACGTTGCCATGGCAGCCGCCGCCGGGGGCGCGGACGAGGAGCCGCGCTCGGGCCGCTCGAGCTCGGACGGCGAGTGCGCGGTGGCGCCTGAGCGGCTGACGGAAACAGAGGGCCTCTTTTCCTTCGCCGATTTCGGGTCCGCGTTGAGTAGCGCCGCAGGGCTGCCGGGCCGGGAGTCCAGAGGGGCCCAGTCCCCGCTGCGCTACCTCCACGTCCTGTGGCAGCAGGACCCCGAGCCGCGCGACGAGCTGCGCTGCAAGATCCCCGCCGGGCGGCTCAGGCGCGCGGCCAGGCCCCACCGCCGGCTCGGGCCCACGGGCAAGGAAGTGCACGGTGAGCCGCCCGCACCGCCCTGGGCGCGGGGACGTCGGGAGCGCGCACCCGCTCCCTGCCCTGCGGCCCGGGTCCTCCAGAGTGACCCTCGTGTCTCCCCTCGGTGATAGTGATTACAGTTGTAGCTGCTAAGCACCGTGGATGTTTTTTAGAAAGTCTCCTTACTCAGAGTCAGTCATTCAGACTAATCTCAGTAATTCCTGAGTAGAAACTTGCCTTGACTGCGGTATTTATTTCTAGACAATAACATAGGGTCGCGAGAGCGGGAGGCTGGAGTCTGTGGCCAAGTAGTTGTACTAACTTGTTAAAATGCAGTTGTAGACTAGACTCCATCTTGGCCCTTAGGCGAGCTAGAGGTCCTTTGAGGCTGTTTTCCTTCTGTGAAATGGGTACATGGCTTAGAAAAATGTTAAGATGTGAGGTACTGAATGTACGGCTATTTTTTAGATGTTTCTAGTACCGTCCTTGTTACAGTATGTATTGTGTTCCTCGTGGGGAGTTGGTGCCCCACGAGGGGCACCTTGGTCCCCTTCCCATCTGCAGAACCAAAATACATAGCTGTTATGTGTTATGTTCAGAACCCTGTTGGATGTTCCTGATCTCTTGTTGTGTACTTTGACTATTATGAGAAAAGACACTGTGATCAGAAATGGCTTGTGTAGAAATTACTACAGAAAGAAATTGGCGCTAATGCCTGTCTACATTGTTATGACCTAGTCTAGTGATTACTGTTTCATTATTTTTGTTGTTGTTTAGGGTTGTTTGTTTTGGTTTTTTTTGTCTTTTTGGGACAGGATCTTGCTATGCACTTTATTTTATTTTTTTGCGGAAGTAGGGATTGACTCGGGCCCTTGCCGCAAGCGCTTATTGTACTGAACCATCTCTTGGGGCCCTTGGCTATGCACTTTAGACTGGCCTTGAGCTCACTTTGTAGCCCAGGCTGGTTTGAGACAAGGCCTATTTGTTACTTAGTTCAGGCTGGCCTTGAGTATACTATGTAACCCATGCTGGCCTCAAACTCAGGCCTTCTATCTCTGCCTCTGGATGGCTGAGATTACAGATGTGTGCCACCACCCCCAGCTACTGATGGATTACCATTTGACCTTGCCTTTCATATGTCTTAGAGATCAGATCTCCTGTATCAGACACAGGGTCATTTGTAACCTTGCTAGTAAGAATTCAGACTGTAGAAATTGTTTCCATTTTACTGAAGGAGAAGCAGACTCAGAAACTGTCTGACCCTCAGGCCACCTGGAAAGTGGAAGTGCCAGGGGGAGAGCACGGGTCGGCCTCGGTCATCTGGAAAGTGGAAGTGCCGAGGTAAAGCACAGGTCGGCCTCTTGCTCTGCGTACCACGTTGTTGCCCGCATTTTGTGCATTCCGTGGAAACTGAGGCCCAGAAAGATCAAAATGGGGACTTTTAGGGTCCCTTCTCAGGCCAGCTGTGATTCACCCCAGTCTTAGTCGTGTGAAGATGAAAGTGCTGTGTAGACCATAAGGTGTTAAATGAGTATGAGGAACTGTTACAGCTGAGGTGCAGTTTTTAAACTGTTTGTTGGCTGACAAAGGCATTGCTTGGAGGGTGTGGTTGCTGAGGCGTGTACCCAGGGTCTTTGCCCTGAGCTACATCCCTTGTCTGTCTGTCTGTCTGTCTTCCTTCCTTTCTTTTTAAGACAAGGTCTCAAAAATAAATAAATAAAGACAGGGTCTCACTAAGTCATTAAGTTACCCAAACTGAACTTGAACTTGGAATCCTCATACCTCAGCCTTCCACAGTGCTGAGATTATAACCAGGCTAAACGCATTAGTTTTTACTTTTTTTTTTTTTTTTTCTGCCAGGAATTGAACACAGGGCCTTAAGCTTGCCAGACAGGCACAGTACTCTGTTTTTTGTTTGTTTGTTTGTTTGTTTGTTTGTTTAATGTATTTAGTACAGGGTCTCACTACACAGGTCAGACTCTTAGTGATCCTCCTGTTTTCAGCCTCCCAAGCACTGGGATTACAGGTGCGTGCCACCACGCCATCTCAGCAGGCCCCTGGGGGTGGTGCCTGCATGGCATACCACGGGGAATTGAACCCTGGTCCATGCATCTGCCTAAGCAGGTACTTTAATCCACTGAGCTATCTGGTTGGCCCTAAAACTATGATCTGTTCTCTATAGGGGTTTTTTGTTTTTGTTTTTGTTTTTTTGTATTTTTTTACTTTTTATTTTAGGGAAGGGTCTACAGGGTGTTCAAGGTCTCACTACTAAATCGGACTTATAGTGATCCACCTGTTTACGGCCTCCCAAGAGTTGGGAATATAGGTGTGTGCCACCACACCCAGTCTCTTTTTTTTTTTTTATTTTTTTTTATTTTTGCTCCGAATGACCTCAGGGGTGGTTTGGCTGGCTGGAGTGTTGTGGGGATTGACTCTCTTTTTTTTCAATGAAACCTATTGGTGTTACTCCCACCCTCAGTAGATTGTGGTGGTTGTCTTCTTCCTCTCCCTCCTGCTTCTCCTCCTCCTCCTGTTTTTTTGTTTGTTTGTTTTTTGTTTTTTATGGTACCGGGGTTTGAACTTAGCACCTTGCACTTACCAGGCAAGGATTTATTCTATTAAGCTATTATTAGGTGCTGGGGATTGAACTCAGGGCCTCGACCTTGCCAGGGCAGTGCCATACTCTGTTAGCTTTAATGTAGAGGTGGTATTGGTGAAAGAAGATTCTGCTTAGGAGTTACCAAATTTAGGTAAACATCATTTAGGAATGGCCTGTTTTGGAGGTTGGCTCACAAAGAGCGTCCGTGTAGACCAGCCACTCAGAGCCAGCAGAATAGCCCAGCCTCGCCTGGCAGATGGCAGCTGAGGGCCAGCGATGGTAAGTTTTCTGTCTCAAGGTCATCAGCCACTACAAGTGGCAGAAACAAGATCTGGCTCCAGAAATCAGATTTGCTACAGAGAGTGGCCTTTGTTTCCGCATGGCCCGGTTCCAGGAGTTTAAGTTCTCCTTGTCTTATGTCCTGGCACCTTCATTTCCCTTAGTGCTGTGGTCCCTGAAGGGTGGTGACTGAGGAAGACATGGGAGCCAGGCACGTTCTGTTTCATCAGGGTGATGTTTTTAAAAAACCAGCCTCTTGTTCTCTTGCCAGCTCTGAAGAGGCTGAGGGACTCGGCCAATGCCAATGACGTAGAAACAGGTGAGTATGCGCAGTGGGCCTGGCTCCGGGGTGCTGGGCTGGGCAGATGTGGGATCGGGTGGCCAACACTGCAAAGACAGTCTGCCAGCTTGCACTGCTTGCAGCTCACTGCGAGGGCTCTGACTTCTTTTTTTGGTTTTTCTGGGACAGGGTCTCGCTGTGCAGTTCAGGCTGGTCTTGAGCTCACTTTGTACCCTAGGCTGGTCTTAAACTCCCAAGGATCCTCCTGCCTCAGCCTCCTGAGTGCTGGGATTACAGGTCTGGCCACCATACCTGGCTTTTATTTGTTTGTTTTTTGAGAGAGGCTTGCTGATACAGGGATGGGGGTGACCTCCAAATGATACAGGGAACCTCCAAATGACATAGGGGAAAAATGATCTTCCGACCTGACCTGCCCGAGTTTGTGTTCTCTAAAACCAAAGAATGAATTTTAGGAACAAATGGAGGCTATGAGAATACATTTATTGAGGGAAAGAAAGCTCCTGTCTGAGAGAGGGACAGGAGGGGGGCCTGAGTGGGTTGTTCCCAGGAAGCTGTCTCTTCCAGGGACTTTTATAGTGTAAAACCATGCAGTGAGGCGCGTCTAAGGTGGTAAAGAACATGGGACCTCGCTTAGGAGGATGTGGGCTGGGACGAAAAGATGGTCACCCAGTGGGATTACAAGCACCATTGCTCGGTAAATTGATTAAGTCCAGGACCAAATGAGGAAGCAAGTCACATAGCAAGTGGGCGTGAATGTAGAGCAGGACTTTATCAGGTAGCCAGCCAGTAGTAGTCGGATTAATGATTTTTTGGCTCCCTCAAGGTGATGCGCAATCTCAGATACCAATCTTTTTTTAAAAATATTTATTTATGTGTGTGTGTGTGTGTGTGTGTGTGTGGCCAGCTCAGCTCACCAGGGGGCGGGGCTGGCTGGCATGTGGTGCTGGGGGATCGAACCGTGGTCCCTTGTGCTTTGCTAAGCTTGTTCTAAGTAGGTGCTTTAGACCACTGAGCCATCCCACCAGCCCTCGGATACCAATCTTTAGGGAGGTCGGCATTTGTTTGATCTTTGGCCTTTAGGTCTGGCCCACAGCGGGAGCATTCATCCCTCCCAGTGTTGCAAGAAAATCTTCTCTCCTGTGGTATTTCCTTGGGGGGTCTAGCCCTGTCAGATTGCCTATAATATTTCTATCTCACTCGGCTGCCTACAACATTGCTACATAGTTCAGGCTGATGTCGAACTCACTGTGTAGCCCAGGCTGGCCTCAAACTCGGAGGTCCTCCTACCTCAGCCTGCTAAGAGGTGGAATTATAGGTCCGCACCACTATGCCTGACTTTGCAATGGCCCTGACTCTGCAGTCCTCTTGCAGGTTAATCAGGCCTTGGTTCTCAGTGGCTGTGCTCCCCTGTGCCCCTCAGCCTCCAGAGTCACACCACTCCACTCATCCTGTGGGCCCCCTCGTCATGCTGGGCATCATGTCTGCTTTCGTATTCCTGGTAACAGCATTGATCTCTGAAGAGCAGGTGCTCCTTGGAGCACTGGTGGCTAACAGGGTGACACCCACACTCACTGCCAGGCAGTCATTTGCCATTTCCAGCTGCTCAGTGACATTGTGGTCTCCAGGTCAAGTAGCTCTTGAGCTTGTTTACTTAACAGAGCCTTGCAGAGCCTGGGCCCTGCTCCTCACAGGATGGTGGCTGCTTTTGTGCCACTGCTCTCCTGATGGGGCAGTAGCAATATCTAAAGGACAAGGACAGGTTCTAGAACCAAAAAAAAAAGTCTCATTTCATCCCCTGACTTAATGCTTCCTGTGAGTCAGGGGAAAATAGCGTGCTAGTTTCCTGTGGCTGCTCACTGATTACCCCAAATTAGGGGCCTCAGTGGAATGAATATGAGCATTCTGTGCCTGGTTTGAAGCCAGCCCAGGTCTCGATGAGCAGGTCTCATCAACCCCCCACGAAGGTGTGGCGGACTTGCATTTTGGAGGTTCTGGGCAGAAACTATTTCCTGCTTCCCCATCTTTCCGAGATGCCACCCACAGTCCAAGAATAGGGGGCCTAGCCTCTCGCTTGTGCTGGCCACGCGGGTGCTTATGCCCTTGAGCCCCCTCCTCAGCCTCTTTTGTTTTATTTATCTATGTGTTTATTTTTAGTTTTCTCTGTGAGCTTACAAGCTGCAGTATACACATGGTATATGCCACATATGATTTTTTTTT